CCTGATCTAGTTCCTTACCACGGGATCGGGGTTCCACGTCCTAGAGACGACGCAAAACTCAAAGAAGAAGAAGAGGAGAAAAAGATTCAAAAAATGAAATGTGACGATGGTGATGGTGACGACGAGAAGAACACATTTGCAATCCAAAATCTACCGGAAGGCGCCATCGCGCACATTTTCTCTCTCCTCCCGGCGTTATCTGTGATTAATTGCATGCTCACTTCGAAACAGTTATATCGAGCAGCCGTGTCGGACGGGACGTGCTGGAAAAGACAGTGCGAAAAACTCGCCAACATCGAGAGTTTAGACGATTTACGAGCGAAAGCGAGACGAGATATATTCATGAATTCCGCGAAAGACGAAGAGAAAGTGAAAGAATCCGGGGAGTATTACAGGAAAGTTTTCATTGAGATGCAAAAGAACCCGTTGATGCGGTATCGATTTTTGAAGATGATACCGACGCTCGGCTTGAATGTGCGAGAATTGCGTCGCGGAAAAAGTAGGAGAAAGAAGATGGTTTTCGGTGGGTTTAGCTTCAACGCCGTGGAAGGATACGACGAGGAGGAGGGAGAAGAAGAAGAAGAAGAAGAAGAAAAGGAGGATGCTACGATGGAACTGGTTGACGACGACGGGAAGGAAAACGCATCGAAAAATTTTAGAGACGAGGACGAGAATAACAAGAACAAGAAACGAACCTCGGACGGCGCGTTGAAAGAGATGCAATCGAACCGAGAACGATACATAGAGCAAGACGTCGTAGATTTGAATGGAGGGACGAATAGAAAAAGGAAGAAGAAAATCATCTCAGACTACTCGAGTTTTAACGTTCAAGAAAGAGTGGAGGTGAGGAACAGTCATCGACAGCGCATGTGGGAATGTTTAGACGTATGCTCGGGGACATTAAAAGCGGTTAAACTCGTAGGATTCCTCGAAAAACCTGAAGAAGGTTTGCGAAGTAGGAAATTGCGCGAAGCGGCGAACATGAAGGCGCTATCGGCGCAAATAGTCGTTCGAGCGACGACGAGGATGGGAGAAGAAGACCACTTAGGCGCGAGAGAATACTTGAACGGAGCGAATTCTATCGCGCGATTAGAACGTTTAGTTACGATTGACGAAGACATGCCGTTTGAGGTCCCGTGGTTAGTAGGAGAACTTCCGCTAGAGTTGCAAGCGGCGGAAGAAGAAGACGAGATGGAAGCGAATTCAGTTGGCAGAAGGCGAATTCTTCCGCGACTCAGCGGTAAAATGCTCATGATTCACGAGCATTTTCCGATATCTTTACGCGCACAGCGGTCGAGAGTGTGCGAGGATCCAGTCGTCGCGAAAAAACAACCGCCGCAAGAGTGGTGCTATGACGACGACGGCACTTTTCGATTGAAAAGATCTAAAGTGCGCATGCTCACGCAGCAATTGATCGAAGGCGTTCGATTTGCGCATTCGCGTGGAATTGCGCATAGAAATTTGCATTGCGGACATCTTTTAGTCGACGATCAGAAGAATAATGGCAACGGACAACTCGTAATTGCCTCGTGGGCAGCATCGAGAGGATTTCGCGACGTTGGAAAGCGCTCTCCTTTGCGTTCGTGCACCGTGCCTTATTACATCGCGCCTGAAGGACTCATCATACCTCCTGTGCAACAAATCGATCCCGATTCCATCGACGAAACCGCTTACGATGATATCGGAACGTTCGACGGAACAGATAACGGAGATGAATCTACTATAGAGAAAGAAAACGAAGAAGAAGAAGAGAGCAAGAAAAAGAAGAAAAAGAAACCAGTGCTTCCGAAACAGTACACAAACGCCGTGGACGTGTGGTCGTGCGGTTGCGTCTTTGCAGAATTTATCCTCGGTTCCTCGCTCTTCAACAAATTCGCGTATTACGAAGGTGCCGAACAGTTGGATCAAATTTTGTGCATTTTTAAACTTCTTGGAACACCAAACGAAAAGTCGTGGCCGGATGTTAAAAGTATACCCGGTTGGCACGAGGATATGTTCCCGAAATGGTTACCAAGAGTCTCCTTCTTGAAACTAACTCGCGCGAACGAAATCACCGTTTTCCAGGCCGATTTGTTGCGAAGAATGTTAACGCTCGACCCTTCGAGAAGAATTACCGCGCACGAAGCGTTGCATCACCCGTATTTCTCCTCCGAAACCGAATTCAAAGACGATCGCATCGTAATGTACGAAGACGAAGACGCGCAGCGTTTAAAGCTGCCCGGCGGCGAGACCATAGTTCAACGACACGTTCGTATGGTGAGCGCGAAAGAGGATGAAGAAGAAGAAGAAGAAGAACTCTTCGGCATCGTCTCTAAACTCGAACAATCGCCGTGTAAAAAGTACCACCGATATCACGTCATCTTTGACGCGAAGCAAACGCCTCTATCGATGAGTTCGTTGGTTTCGCTCGAGACTAAACTCGAGGTGCTTAAAAACCGCGACGACAAAGAAGAAGAAGAAGAAGAAGAAACAGTGCGAGTCAAATTCCGCCTCGCCACGCAATATTGGTCCGAACGCGACGTCTTGTTAAAGATGGTCTTATAATATATACATAGCAATACAGCTAGAGAGAGAGAGAGAGAAACACATATAGAAGCGTGTATAATATACAATCTGAAAGTAGAAATACTCTTTTACGCCAAACAGGTGTATTTTTGATGAGCCTTTTTGTCTTTTTGTCTGCGATTCCGCCGTTTTGACACATTACCCACAGAATAAATCAAGAATCTCTCTTCTTCATCGCGCGCATTTTACGCATTACCCAAAGAAGAAGAAAAAGAAAGTTCTCGTCGTCGCGAATACATCCTCGTCGTCGTCGTCATGGGTGGAACGAACGACAACGACATGAATGAAGTCGCCGTCATCGACGAACGTTTGCAGAACAATTCCATAAAAATTTCCAAAGAAGACGGCTTGAAACCGGTGTCGTTAAACACGTTAAACACGCAAACGCACTCGGTCGGGGTGATCATCCCTCCGCCGGACGTGAGAGCGATCGTGGATAAAACCGCGCAGTTTGTCGCGAAAAATGGCCCAGAGTTTGAAACAAGGATCTTATCCTCGGAGAAGAACAATCAAAAGTTTTCGTTTTTAAGAGAGAATTCACCGTTTTACTCCTACTATCGAGGGAAGATCGAATCGAATAAACTGGAATTGGAAGGAAAGACGATCGAGGATCAGAACAAGAAAGGGATGGAAGTCGCGGAGCAAGTGCAAAGTCAGAGCAAGTTTATGGCTAAAAGTACGACTACGGGATTGTCATCATCGAAACCGGAAGTTTTAGAACGTCCGAGAGAGTTCAAACATTCCGTCGGGACGCAGCCGCCGCAAGGCTTGAAGAGGAGCGAGATTGAGGTGATTAAACTCTCCGCGCAGTTTGTGGCGAGAAACGGCGCAAAGTTTCTCTCCGGGTTAGCTTCTAGGGAATATCAAAACCCAGAGTTTGCGTTTTTGAAACCGGCACATCCTTTGTTTACGTATTTCACCAGTTTAGCGGATTCGTACTCGGAGGTTTTAATGCCGGAGAATAAGCAAGAGATGGAGGAGATTTTAGACGTGGAGGAGGATTATAAGAAGGCGTTAGAACGATCGTTAAAAAGGTCCGAATGGGACGCCACGCAAACGAAGAATAGAAAAGATATCGAGGAGAAAAAACGCATGGAACGAGAAGCGATGGAGGCGATCGATTGGCACGATTTCGTGGTGGTGGAGACAATCGATTTCGACGATGGCGAAGACGAAACGTTACCAGAGCCAATCCCGATGAGAGAAATTGTTGGGTACTTGAAGAGACAAGCGTTGGAGGATGCGTCGAAGGTTGAAACGCAGCCGGCAACGAAATCGACGACTTTAGTAGAAGAAGAAATAGACGTAGGAGGAACAAGAGGAGCCTCTGCAGTAGCAACCATGGACGACGAAGAGCGACAAATCATGCGACAAGCGCAAGAGGCGGAGAAGAGAGTGAAAGCAGCGTCGAGACCGTTAGCGCCAAATGCGTCCGATGAGAAGCACGCGTCGGGTATTAATGAGAACTTACCCGAACCTGGTATGAAAATTGTTCGAAACTACAAGAAACCAGAAGAAAGAGCGGCAGCTTCCAAGGGCGATAAAGCGACCAAGTTTGCGGTCTCGCCAATCACCGGCGAACTGGTTCCGGTGGACGAAATGGCCGAGCACATGCGCATCTCTTTGATCGACCCGAAGTGGAAGGAACAAAAAGACGCGATGTTGAAAAAGTTACAAGGAAGCAACAAAGTCGACGACGACCAGTTCGCGAAGAACATTTTAAGTTTAGCGAAATCGAGACCAGACATTTTCGCCAGCGGGAACGATAAAGACGTCTCGACCGCCTTGAACGAACAAATGAAGAAGCATCATCAACAACAACAACAACCGCCTGCGCTTGCGTCAATAGCAGCTCCTACGCCGCAACCGGCGGCACCTGTCATTCCCACTATGATTCAACCACCGCCGATGATGGCGCAGCAGCCGATGCCGCCGCCGCCGCCGCCACCGGCGACTATCGCGACGAATGCGGGAGTTGGACAAAAACGAGGTCGGGAAGATGGAGGGGATGACTTAGATGCAGAACCGGTGAAACAAAAATTACGGATCGGAGAGATGGAGTTGGAAGACGAGGATAATTGGCTCGATGCGAATCCAGGTACGATTAAACTCAAAATCTTATGCCCTGACGAAGCGAAGGACAAAAATTTGAACGGCCAAACGATTGATCTGGAATTCGGAAGCGGTAAAGAAACGGTGTTGAAAATCAAGCAAGAGTTGAAACCTTTGCTAGGGAACTTAGCGCAAGGGAAAATGAAATTGGAAGTCAAGAAGATGGGGTTCTTGAAAGATGCAAACTCGTTGGCATATTACAACATCAAATCAGGCGCATCGATTCATTTACATCTGAAGAAGCGTTGAGAAAAATATGTATTAAATTAGTATTGATAGTATTGATCACGATAAAAAAAAAGTGGTACATTTACAGAAGCAATCATTAAAAGCACGCGCCAGCCTTCCCTCTGTTCTCAAATTGTTTCATTCCCGGGCGAGGTAAAGACGGTAACGAGTTTTCGTTGTCGTTTTTCGGTCTCTTCTTTTCGATTTCTTTGCGTTCGATGTCTCTTTGAAAGTGTAACTTAGATGCGCGAGTCAACGCCATGGAAACTTTCGTATCGTTTCCGCCAGTTTTCAACGCTCTTTTGTAATCGTCCACGGCCTCGGCGTATTTCTCAACCTGCTCGTAGGCGTTGCCCCGTTCGAAGTATAAGTCGGAGAGTATTTTTTTCGTCGCGTCTGCTTCTTTGTCGTTGATCGCAGAGGATGTCGCATTCGATGACGATGATAACGAAGAGAGTAGCTTTTTACCTTCCTGAATGGCTTCGGCGTAATCTTTCGTCGCATTTCTGGTTTTACCGAGTAAAACGTTTGCTTTCGCGCGTCGTCGTAAACAATCCATGATTTTCACTTCCATTGTTGTCGTCGTCGTCGATTTATCACCTTCTTCTAACGTCGTGGTGTCTTCACTGCCGTCCTCCGAAGCTGGCGGCGAAGAAGAAGAAGTGAAGAAGCGAAGAAAAAATAGTGCCGATGAGAACGATTTAATCGCGTTTGCGTGATCACCAGAGGATTCAAAATGATCGCACGATTGCATCGCTTCTTTGAGAGAGGCAAACTCCATCGGAGTCGACACGTCGTTGATTTGAGCGTCAAGCTCGTTTTCAATCTCCTCCGGCGTCTTTGAAGGAGTGAATTTTGGCGCTAAGTTTCCGTCGCGGAATTTAATTACTTCCGCGCGTAAATCGCGCAAATTTATATTGTTGCTGTTGTTGTTGTTAATGATAACAATTCCTTTCTCCTTTACTTTGCCATCTGGAGCGTTATTCAGGCGTAACATAGAGTTCTCGGAAGATTCTGACGATGACAAACGCTTCCACGCTTTGCCTACTTCTGTTTTCACGAGCGTGACGCGAAGGGACTTTGCCGTCGTAAGCATGCAGCTCTTCTCCCTCACGATTGCATCAAACAAGCACGTAACCGAGAGCACATAGACTTTATCTCTTTCCTCTTTCGATTTAATCGACACCGTAAAACTTCGCTCGTTTTGTATTTCCAACTGCGCGGATTTCAGATCCATCAATTTCTCGTCGTGTTGCAAGCGCACGAAGATTTCGCCATCTCTATCTTCCCACGTGTACCGATCGATGTTAATGACGCGAGTTTCGGGGGAGCGGCCTTCCTCTTTCTCGCCGTCATCAGTGTCACCCTTTTCTCTATCTCCAATCATCAAAACTTTTTTCTTATTCTTTTCAACTTTCAACAACTTTGGCGGTTCTCGTTTGATACCTTTCGCCTCTTCCAACCGGCGCATCCGCTCTTCCTTCATCTTCGGATCGACTCTTGTCAACTCGTGCTGGACTAAATCTATCGCGCCTTGCGTCATGTGATTTCCCACGAAATTTGTCGTGTGCCCGCTTTGTGGTTTCTCGTACCCGGGTTCTCGCTTAATAATCGTACCGTCCGGCGTTTGCTCTAAAGCGTCGTAGCCTTTCTTTTTCTCTCCGGTGGAGATGTAATACTTCCCGCCGTGCGCTTTCTTATCCCATACGGTTTTACCGATTTTACCGTACGATTTCTGTTTGATGAGTTGTTCTTTCGGTATTATCATCTTATTCTTATTCGTTCGACCCTCTTCTTCTTCTTCCGCAAACCGACGATCTGAGGAATTCTTCTCCTCGATCTCGTCCTCGTTTCTCCCGGCTGTCCCGTACGTCTTGTATTCCTCCCACGCTTTCGAATGCTGCGCGCCGTCCGAAACCCGATCCAGCGATGGGTTATAACACGATTGGTCGTACTCGCTCATGTCTCAAATATATATGTGCGTTGCGTGTGTGTGCGTGTGTCAATATATCGCGCGTTCGTGGTCGAGGTTGATATTCTTTTTTTGTCGCGCTTACATTGCGCATGTTTGACTCGAAAAAAAAAACAAAGACGTTTTTAAGCGTTTTTTCGGTAAGTCCTGCCTGCCTGACTCAGCAAAAAGAGATAAAACCTAAATTTTGGAGGAAGAGTTTTTTCTTCTGAATTTCTGATATCTCGCCACATGGCCGTCGTACTCAAAAAGCCCTTGATGAAAAAGGGGATTATAAAGACAGAGAGAGAGAGATTACAAAAAAGAGGAGATATTTTCTTCAATTTGGAATTCAATTCACATATCAACAGAATCTATTACATCTCTCTCATCAATCACAACAACGCGCGCAGCTTAGCAGCTTGAAGTAGTTAAGAGAGTATCATTACTCATCGTCATGGGATTCTTTTCCAAGTTTGCGAAGAAGGAACAACAGCCGTCGTCTTCAGACAAAGCGCCCGCGGGGACGACGAGTGGCGATGACGATGAGAAAAAAGAAAGAAAAGCAGAAAAACTCGCCTCGAAGCAACCGGGGAAACAAGCCGCCGCGTCACGGGAAGAGATCGATTACGTGCAAAGCACGTGGCAACAAATTTTCCCAATGTCCGGTCCGAATAAACTGTCCTCTGAAGATTTGGACGCGAAGAAAACTGCGGTCGGCGTTTTACTCTTCAGAGAGATTTTCTCGTTGGCGCCGGGAGCGTTGGCATTGTTTTCGTTTAAAGACGTGGAGGATGTGTACGAATCGCCGATGTTGAAAGCTCACGGGAAAGCAGTGGTTGGCGCCGTCGATGCCGCCGTACACTTACTGGACGACGTATCGAAGTTAGTCCCGATTTTGGAAGAACTTGGCCAATTTCACAACAAAAAGAATATCGTCGGGGCGCACTACGACGTTGTCGGGCAAGCCGTAGTTAATGTTATCGGGTCTGCGTTGAACGGTTTGTCCGAGGCGCAAACGAACGCGTGGGTGAAGGTGTACTCGACGATTAAATCAGTAATGTTAGCCGCCGGTAAGTAAGGCTTGCGAGAGGAGTGAAGAAGAGAGAGAGAGATTGAAGGAAACGAAAGTACCCGTATGTATTATATTCTTGCATGAAGATGCACAAAGTGAACGCTCTCATTCACAACACAAAACTATCTATATCTACTGCTACTACTACTACTTCGCTCCTGCTTTCATTTTCTTCCGAGCTAAAAAGCGCGCTCTCGCTTCGTTCACTTTCTCCTCTTGCTTGACTTTCTGTTGCGTCTTGTCCTCCTGCGCGTTCGTCGCATTCGCGGCTGTATCCCCATTTTCAGGACCGCCACCAGACGAGAAATCTCTCTCGTTTTCATAAAATCCACCGCTGAGCTTCTTCACGTCGATTGGACTTTCCAACCTCGGCAATGCGTCTTCAATCCATTCGTATTCCACTTTGCACACGTGTCTCAGAAATGGACGAGATGTCATGACCATCTCGTGATAGACAATCCAATCTGGCAACAATCCGTCTTCGTCCGCCAACGCTCGCGCACAAGACGGATGCACCTCCGTCAACGTTTTCGTTTCGAACGCGAACGTTTTGAAGCAATTACTTGCGGTACCTCTTCTTACTATTTTAGAGATGAATGCGTAATATAAGGCGTTCTTGCCGAGCTCTTCGAGATAGCTCGTCGCGCCGAAAGCGTACGATCTTCGAATGTTAGCGTTGGCGAAATCGCCGACTCCGGCGAGACCGCCGGGAGCGCCCGCGCTGCCTCCAATCCATCCGAGCTGGTTTTCTCGCGCGTTGTTTAGCGCGCGCGCTTTTTCGCGTTCGCGTTTGAGCTTTTCGCGTCGGTCTCTAGAGACCATCGGTCGTTTTCTGTTGAGCGCGAGTTGCGAAGCGTTTTTGAACC